GGAAGGAGTTAATTAGCAAAACTGCAGTCTCGTGAAATGAAAGCCGGGCGTAAGTTTCCATAGGGAGGTAACTGGGTGATTTTTTTTTTTTAATTGATGTTCCTGACAATTCCTTGGTAAGGTGATGGGCACACCCCAAAACGACAAGGTTTTAAGCACTCACATGCCGTGGTGGTGTGCAGTTACCTCGCCCAGAGCAGATGTGCAGGTTTTGCTAAATAACAGTGAACATCAGTCCCTGTCCCCGCTTCAGTCTCTAGTATTAACACAAAAGATGCTGCTACAGTGATGCCCAAAGTACGTCCTCCAGGTGACAGGAAACCTCTGCCCGTGCAAGGATGGGCTCTGGAGAGGAGTCGGGACCATCCTCTCCACTCCAGGAACTCACACAGCTTTCCGGACGCGAGTGTATTGCACTTCAGGGATTGGGAGAGGTTCGTTTCCAGGCTGTTCCCAGCCACGTTCCTTCCTTTGAGTGGATTTAGTGCATTTCCTTCTCTCTCGCCCCTTTTAACAGCCATTTTAGGGATGAGCATGGTAGCAGGGCAGAGAGCCTCCCACCCAGCTGCCCCCAGTGCAGAGCACCCTGCCTTGGGCAGCAGAAACCGATTCCTCCTCCCCAAAAACCTGAATACAGACTGGGTGCAAGGAAGAGGCACCCCGTGGCAGTTGTGCATCACACCCTCCCCGCTCCCACAGGTGGGGAGTCTTAAATCCTCAAATGGAAAAAAAAAAAAGTCATGGGGGGGGGGTCCTCTCCCCTTCCAGTGCTGTCTCAAACCAAATGTGAATGTTGCCTTCGTTATCTGGAGTGATTAATAAATCAGGCATTGCGGTTTCTCTGTTTCGAGACCCTTCCGTGGCCCCTGGCTCTGTAGCATTCCCCTTCCTTCCTTCACACCGGGTTAAGCTCACCCTCAAGGAAGCCCCCAGCCCCAAATGTGACTTCCAGAGCTCTCTGTGCCTGTGTGTCTGCCCCGTCTCTCCTGCTCCAGGGCTGGGGGAGGCACCAGCCCCAAGTTCCTGCGGGTCCGTCTCTGCGAAGGGTGGCTGGAAAGGTGCAATATTCTGCTGCAGGGTCTCCCCGCAGGGAATCAGAGCAAGTTGTGTCAGACCCCATTGGCTCTGTGTGTGTCTCTCCTCCCCTCTCCTTCAGCTTCACGAAGCAGCCCTAATTTTTGCTGTCCTGCAGCTCCTTCTTCCCTGGAGCCACCCGTGAGGATGAAGTCCCCACAAGGGGGCATAGAAATTGCACCAGTGTCCAAGTTGTGCACCCAGTGAGGAGGAAACAGGAGCCCCCAAAGCCTTACTCTCGCGTTTAGCTTGTTCTTAACTTTTTTTGGGTCCTGTTTGAAAGTGTTCCCTTAGTCTCCATCCTCGCTCCGGTGCGCAGCAGCCCGAGAGCACACGGGTCGGCGTTGGCACAGGCTGCCCTAAACCCTTGTTATGGGTTGAGAAACCACCTTGAATTTGTTGTCATTTAGACAATTCTTCTATCACCCGGTGACCCCTCCCCACCCGGGAAGGGGAGACGGGGAACAAAAAAAAGAAACACAAGGGGTGAAATATAAATAGATTTAGGGTAAGAATGTAGGATAAGACTAAATAATTAATAATACTAAAGAACCAGTATCCTGATACCAATATAAAGTCCACAAGGGTTATACTCAGCCCATTCTATCAGCAGAATCCGTGTGCTCCTGGCAGGGACAGCAAGTGTTGGACACGGTGAGCACTAACAGCTTCGTGGGGAAGGGAAGGGCTTAGGGATCTGGCACTGGGGCAAGGAGTTCTCTGGACCCACCCCCATCAAGGGAGAGAGAGCAAGAGAGAAAACTGCACAACAAACTTTCTAATTTTTGTTGAATATGACGTTCATGGTATGAAATCACCCTGTTGGCCAGCTGGGGTCAAGCGCCCGGGTCTTGCTCCTCCTCATCCCTGCACCTGAAAGGCTCAAAACCACTCAGACCTTGAATCCCACAGAGCCTGGCTGGCTGTAAAGTAAATATTTTCACGAAATCAAGGCACTAAAGTTTTCTAAAACTGTGTTTTTTTTCCCAAGCATTAGAAGATAAATTAGTCTTGTGTTGCTAAAACCAGGACAACCCTGCTGGTTCCCCGGGAGCTGCCGATATTGCACCTTTCTGGCAAAGCAAAACGTTGAGCTGTTTTACAGCGTTTGTCCTCGGCCAGGGACTCTCCTCCCCAGGTTTTACCCAAGAGAGAAAACTGCACAACAAACTTTCTAATTTTTGTTGAATATGACGTTCATGGTATGAAATCACCCTGTTGGCCAGCTGGGGTCAAGCGCCCGGGTCTTGCTCCTCCTCATCCCTGCACCTGAAAGGCTCAAAACCACTCAGACCTTGAATCCCACAGAGCCTGGCTGGCTGTAAAGTAAATATTTTCACGAAATCAAGGCACTAAAGTTTTCTAAAACTGTGTTTTTTTTCCCAAGCATTAGAAGATAAATTAGTCTTGTGTTGCTAAAACCAGGACAACCCTGCTGGTTCCCCGGGAGCTGCCGATATTGCACCTTTCTGGCAAAGCAAAACGTTGAGCTGTTTTACAGCGTTTGTCCTCGGCCAGGGACTCTCCTCCCCAGGTTTTACCCAACATTGCTGAATGTAAGAGTCTGTGGGAGGTGTTTGACGCGGCGCTGAGCTTGAGATGAGCTTGGGATGAGCTTGAGATGAGCTTGGGATGAGCTTGAGATGCAGTATCCGTTCTGTCAAACCTGCCGGAGGAGGGAAGGCTCAAGGCAAGGCAGCTCACTCTCTCTGGGATGAGGTTGCTCGCTGGATCATCACTTCTGCTTCTTATGGCAGGTTACGGGGTTGTTTCAGTCTCTGTTTCCCTTTAAAAAAAAAAAAAAAAGGAAAAAAAAAGCCAGTTTTTCCAACCAAAGCCATGTGATCCCAAAGCAAATACCTCCTGCTTCAGCCCGTGCTGCACTGTTCCAAAATTTGCAGGCAATTTTTTTGCATGACTGTTTTTCATCATTTGTACCGATCCAATAATGGAAAGTGAAATAATTTCCATAAAAATAGTCGATTATAGATGTGTTTCATGTGGAAAATATGTACCTGACCCAGAGGGGTTAGGAGCTGCTACTACTAATTAGCTAGAAGAGCAAAGCGTGACCCTCTCCCCGGAGGGGAAAAAAAAAAAATAATAATCCAGTCTCCCTGTTCTCAGGGTATTTACAGTTTTACTGTTGAACAAATGCAAGGGGGTCCCAGCCCTCCTGGTGGGAACCATCACGAGCAGAGGAGCCTGGTGCCCAGCTCGGGGTTGGCGTTTGCCGGGGCTGGGCTCTCCCACCTGCCATGGATGGAGATGCCCCGGTCTCTGAGTCTGTGTCCTTGAGTTGGGGTTGTCCTACCAGAGCAGGTCTTCTCCCTCCACCTCGCTGCCCACCCCCCAATGTTTGGGTGGGCTGGGATGCCAGGTGCCCAGTGCCACAGGGGACACGTGGCACGGCTGTTGGCCAGGGCACCAGCCGGTGGCTTTGGGAATCGTTGGACTTTGACCTCAGACCTCGGCAAGGCTTTGACTCATAGAAAGGATACTGCATCTTCCTAGGTCAGCTCCTACTGCCACCTTTGTTCCCCTGGTCCTTCTGCCTCCGGGTGCAGGCAGGGGGGCAGACGGTGGCCCGTTGGCCGGGGGAGGCTGGGGGGGGAGCATCTAGCCATGGTTTCTACTGTCAATACAATTTTGCACAAGAGTTCTTTGAAGTGAGGTTTTTCAACACTAATATCTTAAAATGCACAACTGTGAATTATAACTTTTACACTCCTGTTGGTTGAATTTCCTTTAAATGAAATGAACCTGACTCTGTTGTAACTATGATTTTTATTTTATTTTTTTTTTTTAATTCTGTGTATTGCCAAATCTTTGTAAAGAGTGAAGGAATGTTCTCGATTTCCAATGAGAATCTCTCTCCAAACGAGACTGGCTCTGGTGACGTGGAGATCATACGAAGCACGCTGTAGTTCTGAGTGGAGAGGGGGCTCGGGGTGGGCTCAGCAAACCAACCTTGGCCTCTCTGTAGACCCCAAGCTCAGACCCTCCAGAGTTTACAAAGCGCTGCTCGTTTTATTTCCCGGCTTGTCCACTCCCTGGAATCCAGCTGAAGGCCACTGCCCTGGTGGAGCTTGGGATGGAGTATCCCCAGAGGGACGAGGGGTGCTGGCAGGGTGTCGGGGCTGGCCGGGAGCAGGGGTCCCCAGGCTGGTGGGGCAGGACGAGGTGCTTCCCCCATCCAGTTGCACCAGCAGAGTGAGCTCCACAGGGCAGGTTCTTCCACCGCTCTCCACTTTGGTCCGAACCTGTGGTCGTGTGTAGTTCCCTCTCACACTCTTCTTGCCCCCAAAACATGCTCCTGCTCGGGAGTGAGCAAGGATGGGAAGATGCTGAGAACCCATGTGGGGCAGCTGGAGCTGGCTGCTCAAGGATTGCAGTTCTTGGGCCCCGTTGGAAGAGGGGTCAGCCACTCATTTGTGATGCGCTCGCTGTTCTGTTCCTCCTCTCTTCTCCTGGACTTACTCTCCTTTTACTCATCGCAGGGTTATATATATATTTTTTTTTTTTCTTCTTCTTCTTTTCTTTAAGTGCCTTTTCATGCGGGTGGAGCTGGCAAGAGTAGGAGTCTCAGGATATGGCCCTTTGCACTCACCTCAGACCTGGAGAAAGCTCAGGGAGAACAGGGCGAGTTGCCCATGATGGCCCATGGACATCACCCGCTGCTGCTTCTCAGCCCTCAGGGCCCAGCTCAGACAAGGGTGAGATTTTGGCACCGGTGGTGTCGGGCTCTGGCTCGGATCAGCTCAAAGAAAAACCAAAGAGGTAGTAGCTTTGTCGCGAGCGGCTGCTCGGGCAGCGGTGGTGCTTCCTGTGGGCTCTGCAGAGCTCGGCCCAGGGGTGTTTTTGGGGGGAAGGAGGGAGGTGGATGGCAAAGAGCAGCTCTCTCTCCTCACGAGCGCCCTGTGTAAGTATTCTTAGGGATGGAGCTCTCAGCCACGTCCTCCAGGACCCCTTGGAACATCCATCTCCCTTGTGCAGACGTAACATTGTCCGTCGAAATCATTCCCACGTGAAAGATGTACCCTGTTTCATACGACACCTAATACCCACCTCTGTGGTTTTAAAACTAGTGCCTGTATTCCAGCTGTCCAGTCATCCCATGTCTGGATTGCCAGGAGCAAACTGGGGCTGGTGGGAGGACGGGCAAAGGATGCTGCAGAGGGTCCCTCTGGTGATGCCAACTTGAGGCTTCATCCCAAAGGTGTGGGAGCAGCACTTGAGGGGTCTCTGCCTTCGTACCGGGTGCTGCCACGTGGCACAAAGCAGGAAACCAGCACCTGCTGAAGGGCTTGGTGTGACACAGCCCTGAGCTTGCTGCCCAGCCCCACGCCGGGGCTCTATGGAGACCCAAAGAAGTACCTGGGGCTGAGGGTTGGTTTGGCCCAACAGTGAAATGATGAGCTTACCTACCGCGATGGAAAGCTGGGCATCTTCTGGTGGCACAGAGGAAGAGCAGCCTTCATCCTGACTTGACCAGCAGAGAGGACAAGCTCTACACTGCAAGCTGGGCTGGGAAGCCACCTTCATCCCTGCACTGGTGTTCCACGTGGTCCATCCGTTGCAGGTCTCTTGTTGGCAAGATCTCAGTGGTGATACCGGCCTCCTGCGTCGGCAGCACAGGGCACTCGGAGACATCCACAGAGCCCCCCTGGGACATCCCTCTTGGTGTCTTGCTCTTCTCCTGGCGCCTGGCTTCATGCTGGGCAGCCTTCCTCCATGGTTAGTGTCATGGCTGTGCCCTTGGGGCCATGTCCAGGCAAGGGGACACTGGCTGTGGGTTCAAGGCGGTACAGTTGAGCTTTCTGGTCTGGTTGTGCGTATTTGCTGTTCCCTTAGAAGCTGGAAGGCTGAACCTGGGGAGTCCAGAGCGTTCCCTAGAGGAAAGCCTGGGATGCCAGGTTATCCCAGCGCCCTTCCCTGAGCTGCAGAGGTGGGAAGAGGGTGCTGGAGAGCTGCCTCCAGCCCGTGGCACGGTACAGGTGGTGGAGAGAGGTGTTCCACACGTCGGCGGCACTAAGTTCAGTCCAAGCGGTATGTTGTTCTTCTCGTTATCCTGAGGTTAAGCTCTATAAGGTTCTGCACCTTGGAAATATGGTACTCAAAGCTGCTGGTCTTCTGTCTCCAGCTGAAAAACATTTTTCTGCTCTCTCCTGAGGTTTCTCCTTTGGGCCCTCTTTTCTTCTGAGCGGGGCCGATGGCAGAGGACAGTGCCCCAGCTGCTCTTGCCCCTCTGGTGTGGATTTCTGGCTAACGAAGTGCTTGATGTTTAATTGTCCCCCAGCAGGAGAGGTTTGGCCGTTCTTGACAGAAGCTGCCTGTCGGGCTTGAGTTCTGCCAGCTGTCCTGAGCCAAACCTGTGCCTGGGACACGCAAAGGCTGCGGGCGGCTCCGATGCTCCAGAGGTGGCTTTGATGTCTTATTTTCCTTCTCCTCCGGGAAGCAGTTGGTTGACAGCAGGGTTTGTTGGGCAGGAAGGGCTTGTCCCAGTGTTCAGTGCTTCGCAGAGCTTTCCAGCATCCCGTTTCAGCTGTTTGGAGACCTCAGAGCTTTATAAAAGGAGGTGGTTTTTTTTTTTTTTGTCGTCCTCTGGGCATCACTCTTGTACTAAATCCTCCCGAATTGAAGTGAGAGAGTTGTAGGTGCCAGACGAGTAGCCTTGGACCGTAGGCCTTTAGTTGGAAGTGCCAATGTTGAATGCCTTCTGGATTTGCCCAAAGATCAGTGTGGGAGCGTGGAGGGGAGTCCCAGGGAGCTCCTCTTGTCCCAGGAGTGACAGACTGGCCGTGCCTGCCTCGGCGCCAGCGTCGTCCCTGCTTTAGAGTCTCAGGTCCCAGCAGGTTGGGCTGGGCTGGGCTGGTTTGGCCAGAGGGTTTATTTTTTACCCAGGGTACGTGCTCTGTCCTTCTGCATCGTGCAATGGGGGTTTCTGGGGCTGCTGCTCCCCTCCCCACCGGTTGCCTCCGTGCCTGGGGAGGCAGGAGGAGGAGGAGGAGGAGGTGCAGCAGCCAGGACCAGGCGATGCTGCGGCCGTCCCGTCTCCGGTCCTCATGCTAAGGGTGGGAGATGCTGCTCAAGGACTCCCTTCCCTCTAGCTTTTTTTGCAGACCACAGGAAATGTGGAGAGTGGAAACCCAGCAGGACCCCAGCCCCAGCGCTCCGGTCCCGGTTTGATCCATGTTCTCCCAAGCACAAGGGTGGTTTACGAGCGGTTGAGGGTCGGGTCCTGCTGAGGGACCTCAGAGCTCTTGGCGTGTGTTTTCCTCCAAGACGTGTGGCTGCAGAGCCCACCTCGGTACCTGAGTCATGGGGCTGGTGCCCGGATGCCAAACATTGAATTGGAAAACCCAAATACTTGAGGAACCTTCCTGGAAGCCACGAGCTCAGCAGGTGCTGAGCAGCTGGAGGTCTCACACCAAACCTTTCTTCTGCAGCTGGGTCCTTCTTGGCTGCCCCGAGCCTCCTCCCGGCCTCGGTCCCCCCCGGCTCAGAAGTGTGGTGGCTCTCCCTCCGCAGGGCATTTTGGTGGTGACCTGTCCCCACCGAGCCACCCCGGCCAGCTCGTCCCCGTGTCCTCTTTGCCATCCTACGTGGTCTTTGCGAATTGTATCATATTGTACATGACTTGGGGTTTCCAGAGTTGTAGTGTTCTGACTACAGTATTTCCATGTGTGTACAGAAACCTGAATAAGCACAACTGAAATCCTGAATGAAGTGTATACGTTTCATATCCTGATTGTCATATGAATGAATTTTATAATTATTCCAATTTTGTTGTAGATTTCCAATCTTTCCTATTTATTTTGTACCAGATTTATTTGTATATTTTGTGATTTTGTTTAAAAGCGTTTTGTTTATTTCTATTCTTTTTAGATAAATGATGATTTTTTTTTTTTTCTGTTGAACATTCCAGTTTATGCATTTTTCCCTCCTCCATGCTCCCCCCCCCTCGTTTCCAAGGGACGGATTTTTGGCACGCGGGTGGTGGGGCTGATGTTGGCGATCCCAGACCCAGGTCTCTGCTGTTGGCACCTCAGTGGGCTTTAATCTCCTCCTCAGCTGTCAAGAGCCATGGAGGGGCCGGATCCCATTCCCTTTAGAGCCAGACCTTGCTCTTCACTTTGGTGGGTCTGGGTCCATAATTCCTGGAGCCGGGGAGGGCTGTGCCGGTGGTTTTGCTGACCAGGAGCTGGGAAGCTGGTGGCAACAGCAAGCAGCTCACTTTCACTTTCTGAAGCTCCCTCAAAGATGAGGGCCTTTTTTTTCTTTCACTAATAAAAACCCCTTATTTACAACCTTCTCTCCATATATCATGTTTGTTTGTCCGGAAGCGTAGATGCCATCTGTCTGTCCGTCCATAGCAGGTTCTTGCCAGGCAGGGTGTGACTGGGGGGGTCACCAGCGAGGGACGTGGCTGGTGGTGGCTCTGTTGGGTGGCAGTCGCTGGAGGAGCAGGTCTGTCCATCCCCCTGCGTTATTGGGCGCTGCTGCCGGCTCCTCTGGTGTTGGGACTTTGGCAATGGAGTTGGGCAGAGCCAGCAGTGACAGAGACTTGTTTCTGAGCAGGAGAGTGAGCCCCTGCTTAGTCCCCTGCCCAGCATCATGGAATTGTCAAAGTTGGAAGGGACCTCTGGAGACCCTCCAGTCCAACTCCCCGGCCAAAGCAGGGCTGCCCAGAGCACATCACTCAGGAGCATCCAGGAGGATCTTGAAGATCTCCAGAGAAGGGGACTCCACACCCTCCCTGGGCAGCCTCTGCCAGGGCTCTGCCACCCTCACCCCAAACAAGTTCTTCCTCCCATTGGAGTGGAACTTCCCATGGTCCAGCTTGTGCCCGTTGCCCCTCGTCCTGTCCCTGGGAACCACTGGAAAGAGTCCGGCTCCATCCTCCTGCAACCCCCCCTTTAGAGACTTGTCAGCATGAAGAAGGTCTCCCCTCAGCCTTCTCTTCTCCAGACTGAAGAGTCCCAGCTCTCTCAGCCTTTCCTCATCAGGGAGATGCTCCAACCCCTCCATCCTCTCTGTTGCCCTACGCTGGACTCTCTCCAGCAGTTCCCTGTCTCTCTTGAACTGGGGGGCCCTCCATGCCTGGCCCTTTGCTTTGTGCCACATACAGCCCTGCCGTGTGCCCACTTTGTCCTCCTGGCAGCCATTTCACCCACCCGATCTCCCTGCACTGCCCTTTCTTCCTGGGGAGGGGGTTTGCTGCACCCAGAGCAGCCTCTGTCTCTGTCCCGCAGGGTGACCCTGCACCCCTGGACCTTGCTCCCCAACAAGTGTTGTCGGCAGGTCCTGGACGCCTGCTCCCCTGCCTGTCCCTGGCAGCAGGTGGGGGACGGTGGGATGCTGCTCCCGCCACTGCAGCAGCAGGGATGGCACCCACAGAGCTGCAGGACAGGAATCACATGGCAAGAAGGCCAATGGCATCCTGAGGGGCATCAGGAAGAGTGTGACCAGCAGGTGGAGGGAGGTCATCCTGCCCCTCTGTTCTGCCCTGGGGAGCCCCATCTGGAGCACTGGGACCAGTTCTGGGCTCCCCAGTTCAACAAGGACAGGGAACTGCTGGAGAGGGGACAGCAGAGGGCTACAGAGATGATGAGAGGCCTGGAGCATCTCTCCGATGAGGAAAGGCTGAGGGACTTGGGTCTTTTGAGTCTGGAGAAGAAAAGACTGAGGGGGGATCTGATCAACACCTATAAATACTTCAAGGGTGGGTGTCAGGAGGATGGGGCCAGTCTTTTTCCAGAGGTGCCCAGGGACAGGACAAGAGGGAACAGGCACAACCTTGAACATAAGGAGTTCCACCTAAACATGAGGAGGAGCTTCTTTGCTGTGAGGGTGGCAGAGCCCTGGCAGAGGCTGCCCAGAGAGGTGGTGGAGTCTTCTTCTCTGGAGACATTGAAACCCCACCTGGACACGTTCCTGTGGGACCTGCTCTGGGCGGCCCTGCTTTGGCAGGGGGTTGGACTAGATGATCTCCAGAGGTCCCTTCCAACCCCGTATCACACTGTGACTGTGACTCTGTGAGGTCAAGGTCACCTTTTGTACCTCCAGGGTGTTAAATCCTGGTACCATTTTACCTCCCCCCAGCTGCTGCCTGGGTCCTGGGCCAACCCCTGCTCCTGCCACACGCTCCCCAGCCCGAGGGCAGTTCTGCTGGTGGCAAGCAGCCTTGTGCAGGGCCAGAGGGGTTTGCTGGTGGCTCTGCACCTACAAAATTGCCTTGTGGCGGAGGCTTCAGGTGCCAAGGTTGCAAGAGCTGTGTCTCAGGAAGGGGCACAGGGCTTGGCATCCTCCATTGATGGTGTGTTTGTGCCGCAGCGGGCGCGCTCCCTGCTGAGAGAAGATGGCGAAGAGGAAGAGGAACTGGGAGCCATCTTGTTCCCGTGACCTGTTCTGAAGGACTCGCCAGCAGTGCCCATCACACGGTGTCACCAGGGCTGTGGCTGAGGGCAGTGTCACCTTCAGGCTCCTGCTCCCAGTAGACTTTGCTCGTTGCAGCCCCTGCAAGTCCCCTGGGTGTCTCTGGAGGGTGATGGTGGGTGGCCGGTGCTGGAGAAGCCAGGCCAGGAGTGCTCAGGGCAGGGGTGAGGCCTGTCCCCGGTGCTCGCCGGGACCCCTGGCCATCTCTCAGGACAGGGAAGGGGCTGCAGGAGCCCCACTGCAGCCATGGCTCTCACTGGCTCTTCCTGGGGTCTCTGCAGAGCAGTTGGAGACACAGGTTCTGCCGGGCAAGGGGCAGCTGGTGCCGGGTGGAGGTGCAGAGGTTTCTAGCCCCTGTGGGCTGGAAAACAGGGCTGTGGCCACCTCCCCTGTGCCAGCCGGGGCAAGAGGCTTCACCCTGGCTCTTCCTTGGTGGGTTCTTACCACACCACCATGGGGGAGCCAGCGCAGGCCGGGCGGGGGGGCACAGGCCGGGCAGGGGGGCACAGGCCGGGCAGGGGGGCACAGGCTGGGGTGTCCGTCAGGCTCTGCCCGTCGCTTTCCCACCACCCACTGAGGGTCAAATACTTTCCATTGCTCCAGCCCTGAAGAGTCTTCTCCCCCCATCGCTGTCAGAAATAGCCCTGGGCTGGGAGCGAGCTATTTGTGGCGAGCGGTTGGGATGCAGCAGCAGGGATGGCACCCACAGAGCTGCAGGACAGGAATCACATGGCAAGAAGGCCAATGGCATCCTGAGGGGCATCAGGAAGAGTGTGACCAGCAGGTGGAGGGAGGTCATCCTGCCCCTCTGTTCTGCCCTGGGGAGCCCCATCTGGAGCACTGGGACCAGTTCTGGGCTCCCCAGTTCAACAAGGACAGGGAACTGCTGGAGAGGGGACAGCAGAGGGCTACAGAGATGATGAGAGGCCTGGAGCATCTCTCCGATGAGGAAAGGCTGAGGGACTTGGGTCTTTTGAGTCTGGAGAAGAAAAGACTGAGGGGGGATCTGATCAACACCTATAAATACTTCAAGGGTGGGTGTCAGGAGGATGGGGCCAGTCTTTTTCCAGAGGTGCCCAGGGACAGGACAAGAGGGAACAGGCACAACCTTGAACATAAGGAGTTCCACCTAAACATGAGGAGGAGCTTCTTTGCTGTGAGGGTGGCAGAGCCCTGGCAGAGGCTGCCCAGAGAGGTGGTGGAGTCTTCTTCTCTGGAGACATTGAAACCCCACCTGGACACGTTCCTGTGGGACCTGCTCTGGGCGGCCCTGCTTTGGCAGGGGGTTGGACTAGATGATCTCCAGAGGTCCCTTCCAACCCCGTATCACACTGTGACTGTGACTCTGTGAGGTCAAGGTCACCTTTTGTACCTCCAGGGTGTTAAATCCTGGTACCATTTTACCTCCCCCCAGCTGCTGCCTGGGTCCTGGGCCAACCCCTGCTCCTGCCACACGCTCCCCAGCCCGAGGGCAGTTCTGCTGGTGGCAAGCAGCCTTGTGCAGGGCCAGAGGGGTTTGCTGGTGGCTCTGCACCTACAAAATTGCCTTGTGGCGGAGGCTTCAGGTGCCAAGGTTGCAAGAGCTGTGTCTCAGGAAGGGGCACAGGGCTTGGCATCCTCCATTGATGGTGTGTTTGTGCCGCAGCGGGCGCGCTCCCTGCTGAGAGAAGATGGCGAAGAGGAAGAGGAACTGGGAGCCATCTTGTTCCCGTGACCTGTTCTGAAGGACTCGCCAGCAGTGCCCATCACACGGTGTCACCAGGGCTGTGGCTGAGGGCAGTGTCACCTTCAGGCTCCTGCTCCCAGTAGACTTTGCTCGTTGCAGCCCCTGCAAGTCCCCTGGGTGTCTCTGGAGGGTGATGGTGGGTGGCCGGTGCTGGAGAAGCCAGGCCAGGAGTGCTCAGGGCAGGGGTGAGGCCTGTCCCCGGTGCTCGCCGGGACCCCTGGCCATCTCTCAGGACAGGGAAGGGGCTGCAGGAGCCCCACTGCAGCCATGGCTCTCACTGGCTCTTCCTGGGGTCTCTGCAGAGCAGTTGGAGACACAGGTTCTGCCGGGCAAGGGGCAGCTGGTGCCGGGTGGAGGTGCAGAGGTTTCTAGCCCCTGTGGGCTGGAAAACAGGGCTGTGGCCACCTCCCCTGTGCCAGCCGGGGCAAGAGGCTTCACCCTGGCTCTTCCTTGGTGGGTTCTTACCACACCACCATGGGGGAGCCAGCGCAGGCCGGGCGGGGGGGCACAGGCCGGGCAGGGGGGCACAGGCCGGGCAGGGGGGCACAGGCTGGGGTGTCCGTCAGGCTCTGCCCGTCGCTTTCCCACCACCCACTGAGGGTCAAATACTTTCCATTGCTCCAGCCCTGAAGAGTCTTCTCCCCCCATCGCTGTCAGAAATAGCCCTGGGCTGGGAGCGAGCTATTTGTGGCGAGCGGTTGGGAAGGAGGAATGCACGGAGCTCCCCAGGCCTCCCCTCCCGCAGCCGCTCGCCCTCCGGCTGCTGAGCTCAAGCTTCAAACATCCCCGTGGCTATACTTGGAGAAATGAGTTTAAACATAGCAAAGCCCAGCACGGCCTTTAAGTGAAAGGGCTCGGGAACGAGCTCCCTCAAACCCCTCCTGCAGCCGCCCTCCCTGTGGGTGCACATTACCTCCTCTCCAGATCCCAAAATCAGTGAGTCAGGGCCCCGGGGGCTGCTTTGGGGGCTTTTAGCAGCCCCTGAAGTGTCAGCTGTTGATTGTTGGCCACCATCTGCAGCCACTTAGTGCTGCTTGGCTCTTTGGCACTTTGGGTGCTGAATATCCTTTGGTGGTAGCTCTGATGGCGGGGCCTCACCTGGCCTGGTTTGGTTGGTGATGAGGGGTTTGGTTATGGGCACAGTGGTGGGGCTGTCCCCAGGGCTGTCCCCATCTCAGTCAGGCACAGGGCACACACAGCCTTCGGCTATGCCAGCCCGTGTGGGCTGCACTCACCTTCCCTGGGTGTTTTCCTTTGTTTAACCCAGTTTGCAGCACCTGGTGACCATGGGCTGTGCCACCCTGGGCACGGGTGATGTGTGGTGGGGACCAACCCTTGGTAACGGCTGTGGGGAACAGGGCTGGCAGGGTGCAGTGTTGGAGGTGGGGCAGGGTGGGGATGTTGTCCTTCCCCCCATGGAAAACCCCCTCCTCACTCTCCAAATCCAGGCCAAAATATTTCTCTGTCTCCCGATCTCCTGGCTGAAGCTGATGGAGATAACTAAAGCCCCGTGCCCTGACCCCATTTTTTCCTGCCCACCCATGCCCAGACCAGCCCTTAAAAGCTGGACCCTCAACCCCTGTTGGGCATCCCTTCACACAACCAGCTCCCAGAGATGCTCCCCTCATCCTCTGTCCCGCTGGGACCCCATGGACCCATCCCAGCCTTCCCTGCCCCCTCCCGTTTCTTAGAAACATCATCATTTATTGACTTGACCAACTGCCACTACAGCAGCAGCAGCGTTTCCTGCTCAGATGTTGGTGGTGTGGTTTTTTTGTTGGTTTTTTTTTTGTTTGTTTGTTTGCTTGTTTTGTTTTTTATTTTCTCCTAAGGTACTTTAAAATGGAAAAAAAAAAAAAAAAAGATTAAATGAGTTTATGGTGCTGAAACAACAGTCGAATTCGTTACAAGAGGGCCCTCGTAATCCCTTCACAGCGAACGGCACAGGCTGGAGTAAGGGAGGAGATGACACCTCCACGACACGGAGGAAACCCACAGGGCACGCAGGCCCCACGCCTTCCCCGGGCTGGCTTTCAGGCACAAAGGACTGCTTGCCCATCCCCGCAGGGCACCCTCGGCCACCCCTGGTCCCCACACGGCAGCCCTTGGCCGGGGACGCAGCTTTGCCCACCACAGCTTGCCACGAGCCAGGCCAAAGCCAAAAGGGCATTTTCCAGCCCAAAGGCAGTTTCCAGCCCGGCCCCGTGGCACGTGCCATCTCCCAGCTTGGGGCAGCCACGCGTGGCCCCGGAGCACGGCGGAATAACAGCCCCTTTCGCTCCAGGTGGTGGCTGGGTTTGTCTCTGGGGCGCTTCACTTTCTTAAAGCTGAGCGAGCAGAAAGGTCAGTAACAGGCGGGAGGAAAACAAACCAACTAACGGTAGCGCTAAAGCGGTAGCTTCAAGCTCCTGGGTTAATATTTACTGCTGAAACTAGGGGAGTGGAGAACACAGCGTGCGGCTCGGCGGGTTGAGAAAGGCGTTGGGAAGCCATGCACCACGTGCCCATGATGAGAGAGAGCTCTGAAAACACTGGGAGAGGGCAACGAGCGTCTACAAGGCAACACATGTACAGCTGCAGATACAGGAGAGCTGGAATCCCACCACCATCTGTGACTGATGGCCGGAGGAATCACACCGCTCACAAAGAGAAACTCACGCCAAGCAGAGGGGAAACGGAAGGCTGGAAGCTGCAGCAACACCCTGGCTAACACGGGGAGGGGGCACTTTGTAACCCAGAAGCAGAGAGTTAAGGGCAGCAACCCAACGGGCAGGAGGATTGGGATCATTTTGTTCTCCTGCGGGGCCCAGCACATCCCTTCCTTCTCCACAACAAATGTAACAAATGGCAAAAAGAACCGTTCACGGGACGCCGTTCAAACGACAATCGAATGAAACACAACGGGAGAGGGAGAAACACGCAGCCTCCCTGAATGTAACGGGAGCGGCACGACCGCGCGGGCGGGCAGTCCGACCTGAACACACCACCCAGGCAGAACCCATCAGCTTTTTGAACCGTCTGCAAAACTGAAAACAAGGGTCTCCTCCTAATTAGTGTTAATTTGTTAAAAGTTTCCGAACGCTTTCAAAATGTGCCTTTGCAAGAATCAACACCCCCCCCCAACCCATCACCCCAAGGGCCCCAACAAAGGAATTCGCTCCTGATCACTGCTAGAGTCACGGTTTGTCTTCAGAGATGCTTTGCTTTTTCCTTCTTACTCCTCTTCCTCTTCCTCCTCTTCTTCCTCCTCTTCCTCTTCCTCATCGTCATCTTCATCGTGGCAATGTGTGATTTCCTGAGGTGCCTGGGGGAAGAGGTTGGGCGGTTTGATCTCGCTGATGGACCGGGTCAGTTGATGCCGCTTGTAGTCAGAATCTTTGAAATCCACCGAGCTGCGATTGCGCGTGGCCATCGGCGACTCCTTCTCGTTGATGTCGACGTGCGTGTGCTCCACCGTGGACTCGTGTGGCATCTACACGTGTAAGAGAGAGAGAGGAGATGACACGGGGTGTCCCAGTCCCTGAGACAGATGGAAAGCAAACCCCACAACAGGACCCGTTGGCCTGGAGCGCATCAAACGCCCCACAACCCTCCGAGCTGCCGTTCCTGGTGCTTGCGGGTTGTGGAAGTGTTAATGAACAAGAGCGTGGGCACCTTTGGGACCCCTGCCCATCTCAGAATCATCTAGGCTGGAAGAGACCCTCGGGATCATCGAGTCCAACCATCCACCCTACTCTAAAGTTCTCCCCTACACCATATCCCCCAACACCACATCTAAACGGTTCTTAAACACAGCCAGGGATGGTGACTCAACCCCCTCCCTGGGCAGCCTCTTCCAATGCCCGACCACTCTCTCTGTGAAGAATTGTTTCCTAATGTCCAATCTAAACCTACTCTGGCACAACTTGAACCCATTACCCCTTGTCCTATCATCTGTAATTTGGGAGCAGAGACCAACCCCCCCTGGCTACACCCTCCTTTCAGGGAGTTGGAGAGAGCCAGAAGGTCTCCCCTCAGCCTCCTCTTCCCCAGACTGAACCCCCCCAGCTCCCTCAGCCTCTCCTCATCAGACTTCTTCTCCAGACCCCTCCCCAGCTCTGTTGCCCTTCTCTGGACCCGCTCCAGCCCCTCAATGTCTTTCTTGTGGTAGGGGGCCCAAAACTGGACACAGTACTCGAGGTGGGGTCTCACCAGTGCCGAGTACAGGGGGATGTAGGACCCTCTCAGGTCCTACTCACCACACTGATAGAGGCCAGGGGTCTGTACTCACCAGGACGTGGGCGGCTCTGAAGAGGTAGCTGAAGGGGTAGTAGAGGAGGTTGATGAAGGAGGCTGCATAGAGATCAGCGTAGCGCATCACCTGGCTGGCAAAGAGGGTCTGCCGAGAGCCGCTGCGGAAGAGGCTCCCCATCATCCCATAGCACATGTCCATGTCGTGGGTCACTTTCTACAAGCAAAGGGCAGGTTAGATCCTGGGCCGGGCAGGCAGCGGCGCGGAGCCACGACAACACCGAAGCAGAACGCGCCGAGGGCTGGGGGCTACGTGAGATCTGCAGGGACCTCCAGCAAGGCTTTCTGTGCTCGTGTCCCGTGGCATCAGAGCCCAGGGGAGTCCCAGCAAACAGAGGGGAAGGCAGCAGCGGGCTCAGGGCCAGCACCTGCCCCGGGCTGGCACCCCAGGGCTGCTGAACCAGAGGCTACAGCCCCTCCGAGCTCCCCGTGCCAGCGCCCCACTCCGCAGCAGCGAGCACCCTCAGTGGGTGCTGCTGTGTGCATGAGGAAAGGGACCCTATTCCAGACCAGGCTGCCTTTCAGGAATTCCGGTGACACCAGCGAGCTGAGAAGCTCCTCCCTTTGCGTCCACAAAGACAAAAGGGCTTTGCCAAAGCCTGCCGTGCCCACCCAAAAGGCAGAGCAAAGCATTTCGGGGCTGAGCAGCGGGGGTTGGGCTGTCAAGCCCTTCGGGATCCAAAAGGATGAAAAGGGATTTTGATGATTGGTACCTTAATGCGTCTCTGGATGGAGCTGATGTCAGGGCGTTCATTGCTGCTACTGTCCAGATGCCTAGTTACAGGCGAGAAGGTAAATACAAGGTGTGAAAAGCCTTTCAGAACCAGGTGCTGTGGGATGGGGGGGCTCGGGGGAGGGAGGCTGGTCTGGAGGGGAAGGTTGGTTTCAGGGGCAGAGCCCAGGTCTGAGTCGAAGCTCCCTAACCCAACCCCAGGGTTTGATCAGAGCCGCTGTCGCTAAGGCTGGGAGAGGCAGCAAGGAAGTTGTCACTGTTTGAAATACTCACTTGTATAGCTCGGCCAAGAAAATGTCCAGGCTCTGCAGCTCTTCAAAAAGGGCTGGAAAAAACAGAAAAGAAAGGGGAAAAAGGTAAGTTCAACCTCTTGAAATGAAAAGGGCTGAAAGCAAACCGACCATCCTGCCTGCTCCCCTCGCATGGCAGTGGAGGGGCACTGCACCAAGAAACGTGGCATCTCCTGACCACTGTGCAGGGAGAGGGTTCAATCCTGCTCTGTGCCACTGGCAGAGCTTTGGGCTTGGTTTCTGGTTGCCCCCCCCCTTTTTTTTTAAGCCAAACCTTCACAGTCCTCACCGAAACCTTCCCAACAGCCATGGGGCAACCTGCATAACCCCCAGAGCTATTTACACACCAAAGGGCAAACCTGGGAGAAAAGTAGTAGCACTGGAGGGTGGGAAACACACAGCACTTTGGCAGCAGCAGAGCAGAGGGAGCGGGAGGAAGGAGGAGGAGGCAGCTGGTGAGCAGGGACTCCCTGCAGATGGGAGAGCAGTCATGGCTCTGGCATGACAGGGAGAATAACCCAGGTGTCTTGTCAGACACTTTTTGCCAGAGAAGCCACGGCTCCGTAGGGCAGAGGGAGAGAAGTTTTCGGGCAGGGTTATGGATGAGGAACATCTCAACCCCACCCAGCTGCAGACTTCTCCCTCAGCCCAGCCAGCACTTGGCTGATCACAGGCAAGTGGCCTGGGAAAGAGCACAGGAATGGACTGGGACCCTGAGGCCAGCCCAAGGAGAACTGCCCCAGCTCCTGCCACCAACACCCAGACCCAGGAAGAAAGGGCCAAAAGGAGGAGCAGCAAGAAAAGGTGATCTCTCCCGTGCATCCCTACTCCAGGGTGCAGCACCAAGCAAGAAAGAAGAAAACCTGGCCTGGGGTTTGCCCAGCTGCTGACCGCTTTTGTCTGTCCAGACGTGCAGCTCCTGCGCCAGCTCAGGGATCACCAGGAAGGTCCTCCAGCCCTGGCGCTTCTTGGATTTGAGGATGTCTCCAAAGATATGGTCTCCAATGTACAAGATGTCCTTCCCTTTGGCCCCCAACAGGTCACAGACTGTGTCCGAAGAGCCTGAGAGAAGAATGGTGTGGCTCATTTCAGAGGGTCAGGGATAGGGAAAGGGCAGGTGCATTTTCCTCCCCAAAACCTCCACTGCTAAACACAGCAGCCCTGCTTGGCCGTGGCAGCCCGGGGTGGGGGCCACCCACCTGAGAGTTCACCCAGAGGCAGCTTTGCCCACACACCGCCCCACATGAACAGCAGAGAGGCTGTGCTGCCTCCCACCCCGTGTGAGAGTGATGGAGCCCTGGGCATCACGGACAGCCCTGGGCATCCATCTGCTGCCCTGGCCTGGCTCAGGGGACCCTCCAAGCCTAGGCACACCAGTGGCAGCACTGTAAGGACAGCTGAGAACATTGCACTGGGTCAGCTGCAGCTCCCCCTCCACAACAAGCACTGCAGTGCCACTTCCCAGACCCTCCCTGGCAAGGAAGAAAAGGGTGTTTGAGGAGAAACAGGTCCATTTTCTCCCTGCATTGGGCAGCAGTGATGATGGAGAGGTTCTGGTGCAGGGTGTGGAGGGCACGGTACAACGCACTTCCGAAAACAACCTTGCCTAGTGCATGGCAGAAGTCCTCTCACAGCAGGAATGGCTGAAGGCCATGAGGGCATGTCAGAGCCACTCCATGGGACAAGAAGGGTTGGTCCCTCACCTCCTGAGTACACGATGCCATGCTGCAGTGGGCCAGTGTAGGTACCAATCTTCAGCTTCCCAGTCACCTGAGGAAGGAGACACTGCTTTAGTACAGAACAGCTGATGGTCTGGGTCTTTTCTGTCCTATTGATACTTGACTCTTTGTCCCTCTCTCGCTCCCAGCCAGCCTAGAGGTGGCTTTCCACATTCTTTCCCTATTGCCACCTGTGGTATGTTAGGAAAGCCAGCAAAGCCTCGAGCTCTGCTCTGCCCCAGGAGATGGGGTTGCTCAGGAATCACTAAGAGGAGGAGCAGCCCATCGCCTCTAGGGCAGGTGCTGTCTAAACACTGTGTTGTCCGTTGCAACCAAGAAAAGGCACACAGGAGGTGCCCGAGCCCTTCCAGCTGTAGAGGTACCCTCCCTGTGCCACTCACCGTGTCCACCTGCCGCAACACGGTGCCTTCCCCAAAGAAGAGGGGTTTTCGTGCATCCACCAGGATCAGGTCGAAGTAGGACTGCCATGGCCGGTGGGCGCTCCCAGGCTGCAAAGGCAACAACAAACCCAGAATCAGGCACAACACAAGCAGTCACAGGGAGTTTAACTGGAGTGTCATTGTCCATAGCTGTAACCTCGTGACATAGCTGGTCCACCAAGACCCCCTAGCTCTTGCCTCTTGTGGTACGATGCTGGGTTGCTAGTGCCACCTCCTAAAGCCCATCCCAACCCAGCCTAGCAGTGAGGACTGAGGACGTGGTGTGAGAAGGGAGTGCTGCACTGAACATCCACATCACAGCACAGCTGTCATGTAAAGAGGTGCTCCCCCTCCGCTCTGCACTGGGGAGGCCACAACTGGGATACTGCGTCCAGTGCTGGGCTCCCCAGTTCAAGAGAGACAGGGAACTGCTGGAGAGAGTCCAGCGTAGGGCACCAGAGATGATGGAGGGATTGGAGCATCTCCCTGATGAGGAAAGGCTGAGAGAGCTGGGGCTCTTCAGCCTGGAGAAGAGAAGGCTGAGGGGAGACCTTCTTCATGCTGACAAGTGTCTAAAGGGGGGGTTGAAGGAGGATGGAGCCGGACTCTTTCCAGTGGTTCCCAGGGACAGGACGAGGGGCAACGGGCACAAGCTGGACCATGGGAAGTTCCACTGCAATGTGAGGAAGAACTTGTTTGGGGTGAGGGTGGCAGAGCCCTGGCAGAGGCTGCCCAGGGAGGGTGTGGAGTCCCCTTCTCTGGAGATCTTCAAGCCCCGCCTGGATGCTCCTGAGTGATGTGCTCTGGGCAGCCCTGCTTTGGCCGGGGGGTTGGACTGGAGGGTCTCTAGAGGTCCCTTCCTACCCTGACAATTCCATGATTCCATGAAATGACAAAACTGTCACTGTTTCTGAAGGTGACATCCTGGGTAGACCCAGACACATATGACTTGACTTCAGCCTCCCAAGTCCACACTGGTACATTTGAGAAGAGTGTGAAAATGCCTGGACTCTACTCCACAGAGCCTGGCTTTGAATCACAGCCCTGCCCGAAGGACACTGGACATTCACGAGCCCTTTCTGCTCCAAGCTTCCACCCTTCCTGAGATAAGACCACAGCAAGGAGTTTTTTGAGCTATCAGTGTGAAAACACATCTTTTGAGTGTGAGAGAGCCTCCCACTGGGAGACTGAGAAAACAGTACAAATTCATCTCATAAGCCTCTCTCCAAAGTTGCAGGGCTGAATTTAGACCTCAGAAAACCAGAAAAAGCCTGACTAAAACTTTCAGAGTTATCCTAGTCAAGGCACAATCAGCCATAAATATTTCTGCTTTTTTACAAAACTCTTTTCCATCAAGTTTTGTTTTTTTTTTTAACAAGATCTAAAACATTGTGCAAGATTTCTAAGAAATGTGGCTGCAAAACACCACAGTTAAAAAGCGTTATCACTAAAATAATGTTATCATTAACCCAGATTATTGTTTGAGACCAGATGATGCCTCCTTTCTTTTTGCTACATTGTATTTGCTTTGATCCCATTCAGATAGGACACAAAACAGCAAGTGTATTTTAACCAGATTAAAGCAACTAATCCCATGCAGCCGATGAGGCGGGATTAAAATGCTTTGCAGCTACACAGATAATTAGGCACATCAGTGTCTATTGGAACTGCAGGCTAGAAATCACATACCTTTGGTCCATGTGGAAAGTCAAACAAGTAAGTCATAATTTTCTGAAAAGTAAAAGAAAGAAAGTATTCAAGGATGCAGTTTTAACCATACATTTGTGTAGTTTATAAAAGCGTACTTTTCTGCTTTTATCTTTTCTGATTATTGAACTTTATTTTCAGGATTTATACGAAAGTCAGCATAAGATTTGGAGATAAAGTGAATGGATGGGATTTAAAATGACAGGAATTAAACCAGTAATTTTTATAATCAAAAAACGTGTTTGCCTCCGAAATCTGCACACTGCTTCAGGTGTATCTTGCAATGCACATGCAAAACAGCATATAAATTTTTATAGTAGCAGTGTTGCAACAACCTGACGTTTACCTGAAGTAACTGTTTATTCCTGCAGCACAGCAGACAGCCCTCTCTGCCTCCTGGACCTCTCCAGGACCTGTCTGTACTCAGACTCTCCCATTTGAAAGGGAAGCCGTGCATTTTAAAAGATGCTGAAATCTAAAATGAGTAGCACTTTCTCTCTCAGCCTTGTAATTGCTGAGGAACTGAGGCAGGCCCAGAGGGACCAAGGCCAGGCCCATATCAGGTCAGCAGCAGAACCAGGTCTACAAAAGATGACTCCAGACCTAACCTGCATTCACCACTAAACCATCCTAGACCTGCCTTGGAAAACACCTGATTCTCCACTAGATGATGTCCTACAAATGATTGGCTGCCTTTTGCTGATTCCATTATATACCAACACAACAACCCACTTACGTCTGTGTATTTATAGTCGCTGTTTGTGACAAGAAACACCTTCCCAACTTCATTCATGCGGCTGAGCAGCAGTGGCAGCTTCCCCTGAAAGCCAAGGGACACACAAGTCATACACAAAAGTTACAGAGATTCATCGTGGGCAAAACACTCTCAACTAAGGTCCCAAGTGACAAAACAAGGCAATTCAGACCATCAAGCAAACAAACTCATGTGTTTTGCACTGCCCAGAGCCAGGAAAGCTGCTGGTCCGTCCACACTAACACCCCTCCAGAGCACAGCCCAGGGGAGGAAGGTGAGGAGGAAGGTCTCAGCTGGGCTGTGGTGCCTTTGCCAGCCACAATGCCAGGCACCCTGTGCTGCTCCCACCCAAACGCCCCGTGCCAGGCACGCTGGAGCAGCTCCTCCAGCTCCAAGTCCATTCCCAAAATGGGCCCAGAGGCAGGTGAAATCCGAGCTCGCACGAGCTCCACAAGTCGGAGTGCATTATAATTCCAACCTCAAATTAGAGAGAATTTATTCCTAGGGCTATTTTTATTGAATCGTAAATCTCAGTCCATTGCCAGAGCAGCTGATTACCTCACAGAACAGTTTCCTAAGAATTTTGCAGGCATGTAACTAGAAACAAGGTTAACTGCTTTAAAGTGATACTCTACCACAGAGCCCATCTGAACTAAAGAATAATTATACGGTAAGTGGTCCAGGGGGGCTCTGCACACTGCAGAGAGAGCAAAAATAAGGGAAGCACTGGAGCTTGCTCAATCAGATGTGCTGAACACACATTTTGGGGCTATCAAGACACTGGACATCAGTCAGTCTTTCAGGATCTCTCCCTCTGTCCCTCGTGGTAACGTTTTTGCTGGATGGCAAAGGAATACCTCTATCTAGAAAGATGCTCACCTGTTGCTTTTTAAAAAGAGGTCTTTCTCTTGGAGAAAAAGCATGGGCAGGGAACAACTGTTGCTTTCACCACCAAAAGATACAACATGAGGCTTGCCAGTGTATTCACCTGGGTCCCACGATAACTTTTCCTCTGGCTTTTATATTTTACGTAAAAAACATGCACGTGAATACGAAATCATGTGGGTCACTGGCTCAGAATAAAGGCTGCCTCCGAACTTTCCACTTTGTCTTTGGTTATTACAATAGAAATCACAGCGTTATCTGTTTTGTGATTTAGTAAAGCAAATCAGCACGTTTATTTCTTGCCTGCTTACTCAGTACAGAGTGTCACACAGCACGGGTAAAGTAACTTCACACTTACATCTTTCACCACGTACTTCTCCAGATTCTCAAGGGTCTTTTCCTTGAGCGATCCCTGAAATAGAAACAACAGAACCCAGTGAGGTCATGGAAACTTATGATGTAAGAGACATCAAAGTAATGCCAACTTTCACACTTTAAAATGCTGTGAAAGTACAAACCAGGGCGAATCTGAACCAGTGACTCTAGAGATGAGAGGCTTTGAGTAGCAGGGACCATCACAAACTCTGTGATCCATCGATTCCCTCACCATGGTAAATAATCCACTTCAACAGCATTTTAACCCTTTCAGAAGGGAATACAATAGAAACAAACAAAAAATAGATTTGCCATACCAAACAAGACAGTCAACGACCTGTCTCCAACACTGACCGTATTATGCTTTACTCAAAGGTCAACTCCAACATGTATCACACAACACTGCATAAGGAAAGAAAAATAGACTCCTGACTTCTGCATGGCTAAAAGGACCACCACAAGTACAACTGTGAGCAGAGTTCTCCTGTGACAGTTCTCCATCCCACCCCAACAAACCTCTTGATTGAGGAAGAACAAGAAAATCAGGTCTTTAACCAGATATTAACGCTCACAAAATTATACTCTAAATGTGTGCACAAGTGTGTGGAAAAGATGAACTGCCTCACCTTTCTAAATAGAGTTGATGCATTTCTCTGTTTAATCCAGGTACTTTTCAGACAATATAAGATAGTACCAAAGTAAACCATTTCCAGTAAAATGCTGTTTTAGTAATTAGGACAACATATGAGTTGTGTTATAAGTGCAAATACCCTCATGGCATCACGTTCTAAACCCCATGAATTACAGTATGGAAATGGAATCTGGGCACAATAAAAAGTAAGAGGAAGCCAAGACAGATATGCTCCAGCACCAGGAGGGCAGTGAGATCTTGGCTGACTCACATACAACTGCAGTTTATTATTTGCTCACTAGGCGGCAAAGCAGGGCTCTTGCCCAAAAGTGGAATAACACTTCTTAACTCATGACTTACAAACCAGTCCCTCTAACTCAGTTACAACTACACACGTCCCAAGGAGCTCTTGCAATCACCTTGTAATGAACCCAGTCAACAGCATCTCTGACATCCTGGAACATACTTCTGAAGGACATGAAGAGGTCTCCATCTTTAAATCCTGTTTCACAGCTGTGAGGAGAAAGAAGAGAGATTGTAGCGGCCAATCACAGCAGGTAAGAAACATGTCAATGAGAGAGACAGTTCAAAATGTTGTTTGGAGCTTTTCTTCTCATCTTACCATAATGGTTTCTTATTTACTATTTTACTGCAGCTCAGACTTGAAAGAAAGCTACAACCAGAGTTTAACAGAATCTGCATGTTACCCAAGAACATTTGTTTAAAATTTTAGGATGTGAGTTCCTAACTATGGGCCTGTGCCATCACAGCAGTACCACAGCCTTCTGTGGCTGCAACTCTTATTTCTCCCCCACAGTATTACAAGAAAGAAAAAAAAGACTGGGACTGTGCAGTTTGCAGCATTTTACAAGAGATGAATGGCACTGGGAAAGTAAGCACAGTGCTGCTCCTTCTCCCTCTCTGCAACACTGAAGAAAGGGGTGCCATGGAAATCTACATGTAACACTCCCTGCTGAGGGGAGGAACTACTGTTGAACAGTTATGAGTCAACAGGAGAAATTTTCTCTACAAGATACTGCGGAGGCATCTTTGAGACCCTCATGAGAGTCTGCATCAGAAGAAATCAAGGATTAAACCGAGCTGCATTTATTATGACAGCAATCATCATGCCTGTCCTGAGAAAGGACACTTCACCTGAGGGACTGTCGGCATAAACAGTTCCTCTGCTCTCAAGTAAAATCCCATTAAACCTTTGCCTTCCACTCAAATAACACGCAAAGATGACCCATGACATTAGTAAGCAGCACAGCAGCATTCATATTTGCCAATTCAAACCTCAGCTTGTTTTTATGCTTATACCTATTTGAAACCTAGGTAAATACACTGCACAAACAGCCTTTTACATCATCCCCTGCCTGAGCATTTCACCTTTGAGTGAACAAAGTCCTCAATTATGAGGGACTTGTGGCAACTGGCTGAGGAAATTTAGTCTTTCAGTTCAAACACGGCTCCAATGGACACAGGTTCAAAATTAGCTGTCTGGTGCCTGTAATCACCCTATAATAAGTGTGTGGTCTCAGAAGCTGGCCCAAATACCAGTGTCAGTCCTTATGGTGATATTGACCCACCCTGTGAAGGAGACCTTCATAACCAGTCTCTGCTGAACACGTAGACCATCTTATCACCACTAAATTCTCTTAAGGTCAAAAGATTAAGAGGCCTGAAGTCTTCTCCACCAAATCCACTTGAGGGGGCTCCACTGGTACTAAGATCATCTCCATCTCTGTTGTACTGCCCTTTAAAATAATGATCTTACTGTACCATCCACACCTGGAACTGGAGGGGGGGACACGTACCTAGTATACCGGTCACAGTTAGTGAAGAAATCCACTAGGCAAGCCAATAGGTAGGTCTCTGTAAAGAAACAAAGCAAGATTTTAAAACAAGGATAACACCATAGAGCCAGCTGAATCTGGGCCCTGGGCCCAAAAGAGGAAAGTTCTTCCAAAAAGAAGAAACAGATCATTGAATAATACATTAGCAATACATTATTGATCAGGCCTGTGTTGGCCCATATTAGACTCACCTGGTAGATTGAATAACGTGTTCAGAATGTAAAACCTATCTGTGTCATCCCTCTGGATAAATTTATTTGGATATTGATCCCGTGTTTCAGGCCTGAGAACAGATAAGGTGGAGAAGAATGAAACCACACACAAAACAAGGGGCTAAAACGTGCTGACCTGCAAAATATAGTTGTAGCTGGGTCCATTAACTAAAGTCTGTTCTGCTTTAATCAACACCCAGCTTTCCCATGTGTATCAGCAGTGCAAGAGCAAAGTGTACCCACCAGCGTTCCCATCACCGTGCTGATCAGCTCAAAACCCTCGTCGCTGAGTCAGCAAACAGAGCAGAGCCCACACGGGGAAACAGAGTGGTTGAGAGTCCACAACTCGACCTTAAGCCCCATACTGCCGGCTATGAGGATGCCTTAAATCATCTGCACTTTCATTGTTTGCTTATCTTAAACTTTCCCCCACTTTCCAAGTGTTGCTTTACACTCCCCCGAGCAGCTTTCAGCAGGGGAGCGCGGGGCTGCGCTGCGGGAGGCTTGCCTGGGGCCCTCTGCAATTAATCAGCAGGGTGGCGATGACTAAAGTCATTTAATTATTCTGGTTTCCCTCATTTCTGGAGCTTCTGAAAATTACCTCTGACTCAAATCGGAACTTAGGGCATATATAAGAGCTTTTTCTAAAGTTTGGCTTCCCAATGCAAGGACTCACAAGCTGCAATGACAAGGCTTGTCACCTTGGGGTCCCTGAGTTGGCCTGTGCTTGCCTTCCATACCCCTGTCCTCACAGCAGGGATATAAAGGGATTTGGTGGGACACATCAGGCACGTAGCACTGTGCTTCCTACAGCACCTCCTCTGGGGCAAGAGAAACACAAGCAGCCAGGGAAGGCTGCAGGAAACAGCACGTGATGCCTCACTTCTGACACCCTCAAGGGTCAAAACCACAAAGGGCCAGAGCAAGCTTGTTCTTCTCCAGGCCAGCTCAGGCCCTTGACGTCTCTTAGCAATGGCTGTGGAGTTAATGGTCTCACAGGGCAGAGGTCCTCTCTGCTCCCAGGAGCCCTTCCACAATGGCTCTGTCTTAACTGACAAGCTGCTGATGTCAAACTGTGCCAGGATAGTGAACGGCACCCGGATTATCCCACCAACCCCTTCCCACAGCACATTTTCTTCCATTCCCAGCACACTACGGATGTGCCTCTGCCAGCACAGACCTTTCCCTCTACAAACACCCTGGGCTGGTGTGTCTGGGACCCTCAATGTCAATTCTGGAGTTGTAGGAACACCAATACAGCATCTGCTGTTAGTGAAGCCCCTCTGACTCCTTAAACACCAGATGCCCTGAGGATCACAGAATCACAGAATCTCGGTGGTTGGAAGGGACCTCTGAGATCATCGAGTCCAACCTCAGTGACGCAAAAAGGTATATCAAGTCAAAAAGAATGGCCAAGAGTCAGCACTCACCCTCTGAGGAAATTAAAGCCATGTGCACACACTAGGAGGTTCCCATAGGCATCAACTTTCAGCAGGTTTCCATAGTGGGTATCAAACACCAGGCCTCTGTTAAGAAAGCGAGTTAAGATATGAAAAAGCCAGCACATTAAGCAGTGACCATTTTAATAGCAGTTCTTTCCAAATCAGCTCTAGAACAGCCTGCTCGCTTGGTGTGGGGCATCAGAACAGGGTTGCTGTTACTTATGCAGACGGGGTCCCTCCTGTCCCTTTTACCTGGCTGTGGGTGAGCAACAAGAGCCCTGCACTGCCAGGTGAAAGGCACGGCCGACCCGCTCCCCACAGACTGGAAAATGGAACCGTTGAACCCGGCAGAGGCTGAGCTACACGTGTACCAGGGAAGAGGTGGGACTTCTCCACAGGGTCACGGATCTGACGCCCGTGTTTGCGGTTCCCCGACAGCCCTGCTGGGCTGCAAGGAAGAGCGAGGTGTGAGAAAGGAATTTCTCCCCCCTTTTTCATCGCTCTGTCACAGACAGAGCCAGATGGGGCATGTAATATTGCAATAAATAGTTGCATATTCACGGTTCCAACTCCAGCAAAACTCTCTCTCGCTTATCTAGTAGCTTGCATCTGGAGAACGCAGCCTTCCCACACAGACATCCCTTCTGTCCCCTCCCTGGGATAAAGGCAGTGGATTTAATGGAGTCTTCATCACAGGTTTGTGAAGGGCAAACCTTCTTTGTGTTGTTACAGGCACACTCAGCAACAGCCTCGGTGTAAAACATGCTGAGAGGAGGGAAGGAAGGAGGCTGCCAGACTGAAAACTGGGAACAACGAACCAACAGGTCCAGTCTTTTGTAAAGAATCTCCAGTGGAGTCAAAAAGCAAAATCCAGCAAAGGCACAAATGGAAACAACTTCAAGGCAGAGAGTTAGATAAAAAGCCTTGTTTAAAACAAGCAACATCCTTTTAACCTCTGCTACCAAAAGACAAAATGTAAGAATTTAGTAACTTTGCGCCATTACTTTTGCCTTCAGCATTTGAGTCATCCAGATAAGTGAGCTGGATTGGTCACACTTTCATTGCCATCAGCTTAGTTCTCAGGATGTCTTGCACACTAGGACACCGTTAATTAAAATCATTACAGAAAAATGTTCTGAGACATCCTAGCAGCCTCATGGACAGTAACGGCTCCTTCTCTACTCCATTTTGATTTAACACCCAAATCAATTGTGTCTTTGCTGCCTTTGCTTTGAAAGGTTATTTTTTGACCACATTTTCAGCAAGCCTCCTTTCTTGCACACTCCCTCTTTGCTGGCATGGACTCATGTGTGCAAAGGCCCTCCACATACTGGAGCAGTCTGCTCCCTTCCCCATCATCTGTGGTGAACCACAGGCTTCCCAGGCACAACTCTGAAAACCTGGCCTCACATGTTGCCTATGAACTTTACAGAACAAATATCCAAGGCCTCGAGCAGGCTGGGTCGGTATCTGTTAGTCATTTACCTGGTAGGGAATGCAGGATCATACACAAAATTGAGCAGCTCATGAGGGTATCCAATGGAAACTAATCTTTCTACGGTCAGGTCAAATCCAAGAGATTCGTATTCAGGGGATTTATACACTGTACCAAGACGAGATTTCAGTTAGAAAAATTTGAAAACAGCTAGGGGGTTAAACAAGAAGGCAGTTAAAAGTAATGTACCCGTTCGCCCGCCTCCCTCCTCCACATCACACGCTCCCTTCTGGGCTCCTGCCCTTGGCTGCCTCGGGTCCCCCAGCCCAGAGCCACGCTGGAATTAGCTCCCGCTCCAGGGCTGCAGCCCAGTGGAGCCGCAGTTCAGATTTCAGCAGCAGAGTGCACCAGAAGAAATATCCTTCAGTCTATCGCAGCTCTCTGCATCAGGAAAAAACGTATTTCAAACTGTAGCTCCTCTCCCTGCAGTCCCTTCAGGCAGATGCATGAAGGCTCCCTGTTCCACCTGCTCGGATAGGGTTTTTGGCTTGCTGTGTTTTCGCAAAGCTGATGAAGAAACCAATAAATTTTGGGAACACATGTAGTCACGGTTAGAAAGCCTGAAATTCATCACTGCTGTGCTACTGTTACTGCTCTGGATACAATCCCAAAACTTAGTATTGTCTCCAGATTTCCTCTCGGGGGAATTTATGTTTGCTGCAGACTCGGTTAGCTTGAAGGTAGAGCTGTCAAGTTAACATATGATTTGTTTGTTAATAATACCAAATGGTACTGTAAAAATCTGTTAGCTATTACCCTTGTGCATCAAAATGCTACTCTTTTAAGCAAGCTTACTGTTCTCACATTTCAGAGGAGCTCCTCATCTGTGACACACCTTAGCTCAACGCAAAAGAAATGGACTTGTTCAACCAAGTCATCCCTGCCATCAGGCCTGTCTTCTTCCTGCCAATGACCTTCCCATGTACTGGGGAGGTCACTTAATCAGATCATTAAATTAACATTTAAAAGGAAATCACTGTGTTTCTCTGACGGTGTGTTTACACTTGCTGTGTGTTGCTGTCTTAAACTGGTCCTAAGATGTTAACAAGGTCAAACAACCCTTGACTGCAGTGAAGGTTACTGTGGGTTCAATGGGCCCAACTGTGTCAAACACTTGAATATTTCAAATTTAGCTGAGGAAAATACAAAAATGTGCAAGTTACACAGTAAGCTTGTTAGAAGACTGACTGCTTTTCCTGAGAGAGATCTAGCACATCTATGGACCTCTCTCTATATATACATTAATACATATTGCCTATATTGCCCATGTAATCACCACTGTATATGTACTTTGGAATACAGAAGCCCAATCTGAGAGGAGAAAACAAATGCATAAATTACTACAAAAATACTACAAAGGCATGGACTATAGAAGAAATGAGACTGACGAAAGACTCAGATCATAGTAACCATGACAGAGGGTTCCTCTATCTCTTAATAATCTAAAAAGCATCAGAATCCCAAGAGTTAATTTTCCCCATTAAAAACATAATAAGCAAACATGTAATGTTCTTAAACAGATAACTAAAATCAATAAAACAGTTAACAAAATCTTCAAGCATTATTATACCAATGGCAAACATCAACAAAATGATACAACATTCAATGCACGTAGTCTTTTCTGTCCTTCAGGAAAGGAAGGGTTGATTGAGCTATAGATAGGAATAAGCAATCAAAAAATACAGCTAATGAAGAAAGCTGTGACTGACAAGGCAATTCTAGGGAGTGAGCTAAGGTTGTAGGGAGCAAAAGGCAGTTAGGTAATAAATAACATTGTGAGAGTGACACCACAGCATCATCTGGAAAAAGGAATTCCTCTGATGCAGGACAGTAAAGGCACTTCCCAGGGGAAACAGAAATAAATACCTGCACATACTCTCAGAAGGTGAAAGCGCTGCAAAGCCCCCCATCACGTGAAGCAGCCTCCAGACCCCCACTCTGCCCATGAAGCTGCTGCACAATGAGCTTCCTGGGAATTTGACCATGTTATCAACTTATCCATAAAAATATCCCTTCCGAACAAAACATTTCTCCAAGGAAACCCTGCTCTTTCTGAACTCACCAACCACGGTGATGCTGCCTAAATAAAAAGAATCTCAAAGAGCACATTGGCGAGGTTCTCCTCTGGAGAAGCAGAAGTGGTTCATGAACAGCTCAGCAGAACCTTTCCAAGGAAATGGCAGGGTTTCTGTTAAACCATCTGTGCATCTTGTTAACAATCTACCAGAGCAGGGCTGTGGTGGGACATGTGGCCAGCTGCTCACAAATTTTTTTTACTTTCTGTATTTGCCTCTCTGTCTTAAGATTTTTCACTACAGAGCTCCTTTTAACTCTCTGGGTCTAAGGAAACAAGCTGAAGCACCAGTAGGAAAAAGGCTGAAGAACAAGTATCAACCTCAGCCTTCATCATCCCGAGTCTCTGTTCGGCAGCGCTGCAACAGGATTAATCTGAACATTTCTTTTTGGGGGTAGTTATTCCCCTTACCTCTCAAGCTCGAGATTTTCCTTCCTTGGCTTCTCTTTGAATAAAACTAAACTACTGCCTCATTCATGCCTCAGGTCCCTGCCCTATTTTTCCACCACGCCACAGTATCTGGAAAATGAGAGCCTTCTCCTTGAGACACAAACTAACCAGAGACACAGGAAACTGGACTCCTGGAAACAGGAAACAGACAATAAACATTCTCATTATCGTCACACTTACTGTTCAAGATAAACTTTCCCTTAATTAGAAACACAGCTGGGAACAGACTGAGAGCTCACCAAGCCCACCTTGACAGCACCCTCTAACCACAGCACATGCTGCATCTATCAGTACGAGCCACAACCCCCTAAATTTCTCATAAGCTGTGCCAATGCCTGTTTCAGTAACATCAGCTTCCGGGCAAATAAAAGATCCACCTCCTTCAGATCAAGTCGGAACAAGCTAACGCTGCTCCAACCACGGCAGCACCTTTGGGGAAAATGTCCCAGTTCTATGCGTTACTAGATAAAAAAACATATTTCAATATTGTACTCAGGGCTGGTCGCTCTCTCTCGTATCTTGGTGACTTCAGGCATCCGTGGGGAAAAAGAGTAGAGAGGACAAATGAGGATTTTTTTTCTGCAGCTGCATGATGACAAAATAATTTAAAACTTTGCTGGAACATCCACCTCCCTCAGAGCTGGTTACCGAGACCACAACTGGAGATAATTTGCGTGCCACAGTGATGCCATGAGTTCAGCTATTTGCCATGAGGTGTTCCCTGTGCTCAGCTCCTTCACCCAGCTGAGAAGGACCCAGCCCTCAAGTACCCCCAACTCTGGGGCAGGTGAGGAGGCAGAGACCCAAACCCATTTTCAGAGCATCCTCGCCCAGCGCAGTAAGACCAAAGCACAATTCACACCTTATTCTGACTTCTTTTTCTCTTTCTTACTACTTGATGGTGGTATCTCTGCCACTATGCCAAATCCCCAGCTCCAGAGGACCACGTTATTTCAACAGTCTGTGTTCTAACACAGGCACCAACCACAGGCTTCAGCGGCGCAGGGCAATCGGCACCCAGCGCTTCTGGATAATGCAACCGGGGTGGAAAAAAAAACAACTAAAGCTTTTTTTTTTTAAAAAAAAACAAAACAGAAGCCAGTTGACAGCATTTCAGCCTCCCCTTAACACCATCACTTGGCTTAACTACTATCAAAAGGTAAAAAGCAGTACCCAGGGAGTGAACGTTGCAAGCCTTCAGGTCTGTGATGGGTGCGGGCGTCCCCGACACGGTACGTGCTGGGAGGGAAGCTGATCTGGAATGAGCAGGGTTGTGCAGTAAGGTATGCAATTCTCATGCATTTGTGTGATTGTTTTTACCTTTGCTGCCAAGACACAAGACAGTAACAATTTTATAGCCTTCCTGAAATGGAGAGAAGAAAAAAAAAAAGAAAAAAAAATTCTCTACAGAGGCTCCAGTTTATGCAAAATGCTGCTGCCAGGATTTTAACTCACATGAGGCAGATGCAGATTCAGAGTGTCACTCCAGTCTTGACGGAGTTACACTGGGCTCCCCTGTTAAAGAAAAAAATCAAGACTGATTTTAAAACTGCAACAGCTCTGTGCCATGTGGGACTGTATCTGCTGGAGCTCTGTCCTCCGGGGAAGCTCAGAAGCCGGCCTGGCAGCTATTCCAAATACACTTACAGCTGATTTATAGAGGAGGCACAGTTGGTAATCATGCATCCTGCAGGCAAAATTCTGTCCTCATATCCACAAAGCAGTCTTAGATCATCAGCTCAGTGATAATTAGGAGGAAGAGGCTACAAAGCGCATTGCCCAAGTGACACAAAACCTTCAAGTTTCTCTCAAACGCCGAGCAACCAGTTCAAGAAAGGCTCTCGTGCTCTTTTTGGGACTTGGCCATTATTGTCCATTCCTCAGTGGGTGACAGATTACTCCTTTCAGGACGGGCACACTCTTTCACGCCACGAAATGCCTGCACGTGTCAGAGCAGGAGAGTGAGTCAGGAGCTACTCCGGGAATCTGAGAAGAGAATTTTGCCCTACATCTGAAGGTGCTCCCAGCGAGAGCCTCACACCCTGGGTCGGTCTGACACAGCGTGTCTGAATTCAATGGCAGACTTTCACACACTCACACTCGAGCTTTTACGTGCAAAGCACTGCGGGATAAACCGGTACCAAACCTGCAGGTAGTGCTGGCACCATTCACAAGCACACACGGTAAGGACACCAGGTCTACCCTGTGACGCACAGGTATGCTCAACCAGGAATAACTCTGAGATCCAGTTTGCGTAAAATACAAAGCTGAATGAGTTGGAATGATGTTGACCCACAGAAGTATGAAGACCTCCCGGAAGGCTCCTGTGAAAATAAGTGTTAAAAGCCTGTTTTGTTTCAAAATGAATAGCTGGGGAAGGCTGTAGTGCATGTGATGTCTCTGTTTAAGCTGTGGGGAGGGGAAAGCCCTTCAAGAGGTGCCCATTTCTTTGCTCATTCCTCCACACACACAAAGATTTCAAATTCAGGCAGGACAGCTTCTCACTGAAGATGTAATGTGGTTTCTCGCAGAGGATTTCGATGTTTCTTACAAGCTCATCATGCATCATAGGAGAGAAGCAGGA